GTAATTTTTTTTTTTGTAAAAAAATATTCTTAGTTTTCCGTCATTAGTCTATGTTTGTAGGTGATTCTAAAACAAAAAACGTTTCGAAATATCACCTTGAAAATATTTTGATAGGTAGGAAACCATAAGAAAGTTAGACAAGTTATTTATTTTTTTCTGAATGTAATAATTAAATAAAATAAAAAATATAAATTCCTAATTATTCTATTAATTACATTTTTTTTACATGCGTCGGAGAGGGCAATTTTTAATGCTTGCGAAAATGATGTAATAATTTTCTTGCATTAAGTAATAGACAAAAAGTAACGTACTTATATATATTTTTTTATTATAATATTTTTTTTTTTATTTTCAAATATTTTTCTTTCTGTCAGTAGATAAGCATCACAATTAAAACCAAGTATTTTGAATATCTATTATTATTATTTTATTTGCCGAAACATATACCTACTCAATAGTGATTCATATCATCCGTTTATGTATTATGGTAGGTATCTACAATTCTACATGGATGTTTGGAATCGTACTGAGTCATCATCCCAAATGTCACTGACTCGCTTCTTAATTCTATCTTAGTGTAAGTACCATTAAAAACTGGTACCACCATAAAAACAGACGTTTTTCTTGGTGTAGGCAGAATGATATTGGTATTTTTGTTTATCGACTACCAATTCGTATTGCGTGTGACAAACGGTGAAAGAAAACATCGTGTGGAAACCTGGACTTATGATTTCTAATTCATCATCAACAGCCTATATATGCCCACTGCTGAGCAAAGCCTCTTCTCACTCGGAGAAGGTTAGAGCGTTAATCACCACGCTTGCTCAATGCGGGTTGGCGATTTCAAACTTATAATTAGAAATTATAAGTCCAGGTTTCCTCACGATGTTTTTTTGTTTCTAATTACAATTTTGAAATCGCCAACCCGCATTGAGCAAGCGCGGTGATTAATGCTCAAACCTTCTCCGTACTAGAAGAGGCTTGCTCAGCAGTGGGCATTTATAGGCTGATGATGATGATGATATGGTGATGACTGCCATTTCCACTATTTCTTTTTTGTCAAATAAGAGTGGTTTGTTAGATTAAAAAACTGAGAAATAAAGTTTAATGCCAATATTTTATATGTAGGTAAACCTATTGTACATTTTCTTTAGTTTTTTTTTTAAACTGGATACAACGTTTTGATATCTTTTAATCCTTTTCACTTAAGTTAGTTTTCACTGGTTTTGTCCAAGATGACTATAATATGATGCTTATTATTGTGAAATAAATAAAAGAATTACATCACCATGAAATGAAAGAGAGAAAAAACTTTATTTCACACGCTAAAAACAGGTGATCTACAGGATATAGTGTTAGTTTATAAATACCGATGGGTGCATATTCATGTCCCAAGTCTGCGGTGAAATGGGACCAGTTCAGCATGTGCAAGACAGGGCCTCGCGCTGGTATTCTACTGGCCCCTTAAGTAACTCGCGGACGAACAAGCCACCAAATATGCTCAATTGTTATATTAAAATAAAATGTTGCAATAATTGAATTTCAAAATGGTGCTGCGTTTACAAAACAATAAAATCGAGTGACCTAAATAAACGTCGAGTATCATCTAATTAAAGTAATTTACTATTAATTTTCTTTATTAAGTCGTGTTGCTGTAATTAATTATTAATTATCTTGCAGAAGAATGATTAAAGTCTGGAAAGCTGTGTTGTGACAGTTGAGTAGAATTGGTACCACCAAGCGAGATAGTGGTCACACGTCGGCCCATCAAATATAAAAATCGAAATGTGTGTACCCCGACAAATATAACTTCTGGGTGTCTTCAAGTCCCGATTGAACAGATTGCTCATAGGTAGGCATGCTCCATCGCTTACCACCAGGCGAGGTGGTGGTCAAACGTCGACCTATCAAGTATAAAAAGTACAATACCTTGGTTACCATCTTCATTCTTCCCGGGGTTGTCGTAGAACCAACTAAGGGGCTATACATTTGACATAGATAAGTACTTAGTAGTGTTCTCGGATAAATCTAAACCTTTATAAACAGATTTCAACCCGCCTGCCAAGCATAAAGATTATAGCATACCCCATGATATATGTAGACAACGTTCATTGTTATAGTTCAACAGTGGATTGTTATAGGCATAGGCTGTTTATGGTGGCCTATTAATAGGTGTTAAAGATTTTAAGAATTTTAGTGATTTCTTAGGCGACCATAGAATCTTTGTTCGTCTTTTGCTAAATATGGCTAGGCCAATAATGCATGTTGTATGTTTTAATTGACCTTAGTGAATTCATACAAATTCATAATTAAATTGTAGTATCTAAGTGTATTTTTGTATCAAGACTAAGTCCAATGTTACTGTGTTACTGAATAACAACGATCAACCAAGGTCAAACTTCACGCCCGTTCTTTAACACAAAGCATCGTAAAACGCAACTATTTTCGTTATAATCGAATGAAAACCGATTTTATTTTATCACCATACTTCAATAATAGATAAGTACGCACCTATATCAATCGTGCGATAGGTAACCGATAGCTAAAGCCAACACTACGCACCTGCTTGCTATATTATGTTGCACCCACTGCTTGCAGTACTGACAACTGTTAGATATTAAAATTTGAATTCGGAGTCTAAAATGGCGGCCGGTTCCATCGACAGGAAAATTCGTCATTGCGTGTGACTTTTTTTTTCAATCATCCGTATAATTTGTATAGATTATAAATATTTCGGTGGACCAACGTGAGTTATGGACGGTTTTAGTTATGGTTACCTGTTTAGTATTTATTTGCAAAGGAAATAATTAGCAACGTTATAATAATGTTTTTTTTTATTTGCCTCATCAATTTTAATTATCTCGGTTCGTAAGATTTTACAGTATGATATCTTAGCAACTCAACGTCTAAAATATAATGTATGTCGAATACATACATAACTTTATATTCAAGTATTTAAATGTATTTCACGCTCATTACTTCTAATAGGTTCTTTGAAACTTGTCTTGTTCATCGAAAACCATCGAAAATAGATATCGAATGATTCATTTTCAACAATTACATTGCCACTATTACACGGGCCTGATCGATTGGTATTAGCAGCTGCGACTACTATTATTATAAGTACTTGTATTCCTGCTTACAACCTTCAAGAAGTATTCAAGGCCAGACTTGAAAAAACTACTTAAAGAAAACTTGCTTCTTGGTCAATGTTGGTCCCAATACGTCACCCATGGGGAACTCCTTATAATTTTCTTATAGCGTTTAAAGAAAAACAAGTACTCACCGTGTCAATAGCGTCATACAGAACCAGAGTTGGGCAAATTGTAATCAGATTAATGATTAAGGATTACGATTACATTTTGTAATCATCAATCAAGATTACAGATTACGGAAATTAATCAAGAAAGTAATCATATCGCTGATTAATGATTATTAGTTTGTAATCGTTATTTTGATTACTTTTTTGATTACTTTTTTGATTGATGCATACTAACTACATTTAGGAATTCGAAAAATAAAATCATTAACATTGTAAATCATGTTTATTTTTTGATCAGTCTCAGTTTTTTAATAATTATTATACTTAAGAAAACAATCAAGAATAATTTTTTTTTATCAATATATATCAAAATATATCAAGAATTATAAAAAAGAATTATTAAATAACGAAAGAGTACAAAACGACATGACATCCAAATTGAATCAGAAGTTTTTAGAAAAACTCACACATACAAGATACGTACTGATTGAATATAGAACCGCATTTATTAAAAATATGTTTAAAAAATTAATCAAATCTACCCATGTAATTAAGATTACTGACTATTGTAATCAAAACTAATGATTACAAATGTAATCATGATTGAAAGTAATCAAGATTAAAAGTAATCATGATTGATGTAATCATGATTACTTTCAATCAGATTATTAATCCGATTACAAAAGTAGTTGATTACGCCCAACTCTGTACAGAACAATATCGTTGCGGAGTACGTTCATAATATGTTTATCTGTGGCCTTCAACTTGACTCGTCCGGGCAACCGCCGACCTCGCTTACTTTCTGACTTTTAAATGTTTTGCCTTATCGAATTATCGTTATTGTTAGCTATCTTAACTGTTTTTCTCGTTCTTAGAATACGTTTAAAGTTGTATTGATTTTTTTGCGGGAAAAACTGAAAGGTCCTCCTCCCTTTTTACTTTTTATTGTGTCTTTTAGATGTTCTAGTAATTCGCTCCGACTTTGCACGGATATAATTCCTTGTAATAAATTGTTTTTATACAATAAATCGTTTCCAATTTCAATACATTATATTTTACACACTGACCTTCAATTGTTAACAATAAAATTTATCAAATCACTCGCCTCTTCCTCAATTGATGGGCCGATAAATGGCAATTGTTTTTATTTACATCTGGGTTTGTCCACTACGTGGGCTTATTAACCAATGTGTTTTATAATTTATTATTTATTCGATATTATCATTAATCGAAATCGGAAATAGAATTAGGAATTACTATATAATCCAATATGGAGTATTCTTCATCTATTGCCAATCGGCGAAGCTGGTCAATTACTATCTGGTGATATGATCTGCCATATCTCGTAAAAATTCCTGGACTTCTTTTCTGGACTTTAATGTTCTGCCGTACACGATATCCTATCTTGTATTTAAATATATTTGTTTATGTACATGGACTATATTAGATTACAAATGATGCGACACTTGATGCAGTATTTAGAAAGTATGAATTGGCGTCTAACCCACATTATATTCTTAAATAAGAAATACAAAACTGCACCGTGCAACTCTATGGAATATTATCAAAAAGCCTTTGATTCGTGACTAGGATTGTGTGAACAACAAAGACTTAAGTTGACTTAATCAACAATATTTTCAGTATTTCTTCTAAAGAGCAACATTTATGAATATATTGTGAATCATTTCTTCTGTTAATTATTGTCTTTTAATTAATCCTCTCATTCTCTTGTCCCCAGGTAAGGAGGTACAGAAAAGATGGCGATCCATTCGCGACTCATACACAAAGACGTACAGACAAGGGAAGTGTGTGTTGCCCGAACAGTGTCCACCTGGAAGCAGACGATACCAGTATCATCACCAGATGTCATTCTTACTCAAAGCTTTGCAGAACAAGTGAGTACACATTTTCTTTAAAAAATATCAGTGAAAATTTTGCCAAAGCCTAAGAAAGAACTTAGAAACCTTTTTGCCTGATTGATTATGCAATTAGAGAGAAGTTTGGAATTATAAACCATGTAGTACGTTGATTTTATCTGAAATTGAAAAGCCCAGTAATATTTTGAATGAGGATTGGAACTCTAAATCTAATGATCGGAATTCGTGAAGTCTTGACCTCCTTGATCTTTTTAAATTAAAGAATATTTTATAATATCTCTCAGGGCCTTTTTAGCATATCGGGTCCGATTATACCGACTTCCCTAAGTGCAACCAAGATCCAACCAAATCGAATAACTCTTTCTTTATATATTTATTTTAATATTTCAGGAAACCCAGATATTCACAGGATAAGTATGAGTCATTCTCAGAGATCTCAAATTCGCCGCAGCATCCACCGCCAGAAGACATGCCGAAAATAAAGAACGAGACCATGGAAAAACCATTAGATCTTAAAACTAAACCGGATGAAAGACCAGAGACACAAGACAAATGTAACCAAGCAGATTGTATAGATAAGACAAACTCGTTAGAAATCAAAATAGACGCCAACTCTATACTCCCAGAAGACCATTTTGATGACGATCGCTTATTCATGAATTCTTTAATACCTTTGTTCAAAAAAATGAACGATGACACAAGGTTATTGTGTAGGATTGAAGTCCTTAAAATAATCCGATACGCACTTCAAGGTCACAAATGTTTTGAAGCTCTCAAAGTGGCTGAAGATTCGTTCTTGAAAGACAGATTGAGCAACATACTGTCTAAAGACGAAAGCAATGTGTCTACGAGTACACAAAAGAGTCCGGAGACCAAATTGGCTATGACTACTAGGTCTGCTGATGGTAGCCGACCTGTTCGAAAACGGAGGGTAAGTTTTGTAACGTCTTTTTATTTATTGCTGCTCCAAACTTGAATAATGCCTTGTGTTCGTTGGTGTTTCAAAGTAAATTGTGAGTTGAACTATTTTAGTGAATTTGGAACATTTTGTATTTATTTGCTGTTTCTTCTATTCTAGGCTCGCTCACCATCACCTCTGCCGGTGCCAACAAAGAAGCGGGGGCCTGGCCGTCCTAGAAAGGTTAACATACACTTCCTTACAATAATAATATTAAGCAAACCGGGAGAGGAATTAGTTACAAATACGTTTAAGAGTTGAGAGCACAAAGCGCTTCGCATCAAGCTTCCTTGTGCGTACTGTTTAGGAGTGGAATTCTTTGCCAGAGTCTGTATTTCCTGTAGGGTATAACCCGGGTGTCTTCAAGGCCCGAGTGAGTAGGTTGCTTATGGTACGACGTGCTCTATCGTAAATCACATCATAGTCGGCCCATCAAATATAAAAAAAAAGGATGCGGGGAGAATTGAGCTTCCGATAACTTCACTTACTACACGAGCAGTAATGCATGCTGATATTGACGTGTAAAATTGACATTTTATAGCTCTGTGACAAAATTGTAATGTCTTTATTTTCGTGTCCACAGATTAGGCCGCCGCCCTCAGATTCTGATGAGGAGCTGACATCAAGGAAACGCCTGCCGAAGTTGAAGGTGTGTGAGGCTCCCTGTGAGGAAGACTCCTACAGCCACGTCACCAGCGTCGCACAGCTCTCCACTCCGATGTTTATGAAGGTAAATACTTGATACTTTTTTAAATTACTACTAGTTGCTCCTACAGCTGTAGCCAAATGCCACTTACCGCCTGTCTACCTACATGTAGAATAGAAAACCAAATTATATGGGATTGACGTCAATTTTGACACTTGTCAATGTCATCCCCATACATTTGGTTTTGTACTCTCTCTGTAGACAAGCGCTAAAGTGGCGTTTGGCTAAAGGCACTGGTTACATTTTGTGCTCGGCTCCTATTAATCGTAGCGTGATGATTTTTATACCTATAGCCTTGTGCGATATATGGACGATCTAACACAATAACAATTATTATTTTCTAACCTAGCGGTTATTCCAGAGATTAGCGTGATAAAACAAACGACTTTTCAGCTTTATAGAAATAAGTATAGATTCTCATCATCTCAACAGCTCGTGACTGTCCCCTGCTGGATGGGTCTCCTCTAAAAATGAGGGGTTTTCCATAATCACCACACTTAGCAAACAGGTTGGAGATTGCAGTCTAACAGGATAAGATTTATTTGAGAACAGCCTGCCCAATCTCTTTTCAATATACCGTCCCTTAGTCACATATTATAGCTCAATTTTTATCCCGGAATCCCAGTAAAACTTATTGATAAAATATCTCATTCTAATTTAACATTATCTTTTTCAGATTTATAACTTGGAGAGGTCAAAAATTGCACCCGCCTTACCCACGACGCCGCCGATGCAAGTGTCAATAAAAACCGAACCCGTGGACCCCGAACCACAACCCAGCTAAGCTACCAATCAAACTATGTTATATTTTTATTATGGTAACATTGTTAACCGCCAATCAGAATGCAGAAATATCACGCGATAATGGCCGTTGGCCAATGACAGCGTACTATTTTTCTAAGTAGGCTTAACGCTACATTTAGATGTGTATAGTCTATGGTTTTTATAACCTCAAAAGAATTTATAATGTTGATTGATACAGGTATATGCGCCTTTTTCTGTTGAATTTTTAGGTAATTGATGATGATATTTTCAATTATGTTCGGTGAAAATTTACCGGGCTCTTTATTGATATGGACATTAAAAAAAACATTTTTTTTTTAGTATAATCACCCTTTTTATATGTGTGATTCAGTTACCAATCGTACAGTTTTCACAGTTAATTGAAAATATCGTTCATCATTATTCTAAATCTAATTGTTTTTAGGGAACAGATAAAATACACTTTATGTGTCATCATGTTATATCCTACTAATATTATGAATGCGAAAGTTTGTGAAGATGCAAGTGTGTGTGTGTGTGTGTGTTTGTTTGTTTCTTTGTTACGCTTTCACGTCAAAACGGCTGAAGGGATCGAGATGAAATTTGGAACAGGGGTAGATTATTGTCTGGAATAGCACATAGGCTACTTTGTATCCCTAGGAAACGCGGGCGAAACCGCTAGCAGAAGATAGTGTGCGATAAAAAAATATTGGAAATAAATTGTTGTGAACACAATTATTATCACATAGGCACATAGGTCTACTTCAAAAATATCTCGTGTTCAAAACAAATAGAAAATAAATGTCTATAAATATTAAAATACTTCTTTAATATTTAAAAACCATTATAAATTTTATTGAAAAAGATCTGTGTATTTATTAAATGTTATCTGTGTTAAGTACTTCATAGGTCTATGCTAAACATACCATAGATTTATTTTTATTCTGTGGTTCGACCTCATTGGTCATGGCATCAGGAAGGCGTTACCTGAGAATTGTGTGTAGTAATCTTACTTGTATACAAAATGTTATAAGTCGTAATTATTTATGTGTTTAATATGAGCTACTGTTGCGTTGTATTATTTTTTTACTGTTGGTAGATGTTGATTTGATTTATTCATCTCTGTTTACTTCCGTCCACTGCTGGACTTCTTACAATACGGTAGATGCCTAATTTGTATTTTAATGTCTGTCTGGTAGATTATTTTAAATCATTAGACACGTATTTTTTATTTTCTTACAGAAACGAATACTTTCGACGATATATTGATTTGAAATGTCGCGTGACGTCACTTCTCAGTGCATTTTATACGTAGAAATGACGTTTTAGCCCCCACTCCTAAACGTTTTATTACACGACAAAATAAAAAAATACATGTCTAATATTTTTTCATTACTTAACTTACGGACTATTATATTTTTAATTTTCGTTCAATCAAAATCTACGTTGATGAACTTCTGAGCTATGTCACCTTTATTTTATTTTTATTTCTCATCTCGTTTTCATCTTTGGGAAAACAAAATACTTTCTTTCGCCTTTAACTACCTTCTGCCTACTTTCTTTCCTAGGCACTTTTTATCTTATATTTCTATAGAAATAATGAATCAACATCTTCCAAACAGTTTGTACGTTCGATTGTAATGAATGAAATGTGATATAGATTTAGTTTCGCCATGTAATTATTCTAATATTAATTTTAATCTTTAAACTCCATAGTGAGAATTTCTGCGCTACGCTGTTGGCCTATTTTTAAGATTACAGCGCAGAATGATCAAATTCGATCTCAAAATACGAGAATTTATTTTGAAAAGTCATTTGATAGTTTGACAGTTGCGAAGCAGCCATCTTGTTTTGGCGGGAGTTTTTTTTTCTTTTGTGCACGTTTTGTTTTTACTCTATTTTATAATAATGATACAAATGAAAATCGTTTAGTTTAGTGTAAAAAAGCATTTTTTAGTTGTTAATTTAGGTTAAGTTTTAGTACATTGAGTTGTTTAAAGGGTCTGGCGATTCTTTCAAAGATGATAATAATAATTGTAATTGGTACGTTTAAGTGTATACCCGATATGTGATGGAAGATAATAAAAATACTGTGTTTTTACTGGACAACTTTGGGCCAGGATATTTTGTGTTGATCGCAATACAACGTTGAAATAATAATATAAAAAGTGTTGTGTTACTTGTGTTATGTCCGTACATTCCTTAGTTAGGAATATTGTAGATATTGTGAGAATTATCACGGATTGTATACCGTTGAAATAAATATCAATATTTTATAACAATTTTGTTTTATTTTTTTCATGTTTTGCACGCATATTTTCGACATTCTCTTCTCTACATTTCGTTGTCACGCCATAACTTGAGAATGGCTAGATCGATTGGGCTGATTTATTTTTTGTTCTCTTTGTTATTGTCAGGAGAAGGTTCTTATGATAGAAAAATGCTGAAAATCTTATGGGAATGAGAGAAACTAGTTTAATAAAAAATACACAGTTAATAACGAAAGATTTACGCCTTACCTATATTTATTTAAGTAATTAATTATCGAATATAGCACCTAAGTAATCATTAAAATATATTTCTTAAATTAATCAAGTCAATTCGAATGCAATATATCGTCGCCGGGGACAGTAATGGAGATGTTACTGAAAGTTACTTGCAGCCCTTCTCTTTTAGGGGTGCAGCACATGGGTCCCACGACACAGGGGCCGCGCGTACAGAGCGGCAGCGGGCACAGTCGGAGCAGCGTCCACAGCTCGTTGTCCGTCGAGTACTTCACACACGCTACGTCGCCCTTCCTTGACATTCGCAGGTAGAACTTGCGCGGATTGCCAGTGAATACGCCTGAAACAAAACGTCATACATCGTCGTATTAAACAAATGCCTCTTTGGAAACTTATCGCATTAGTAAAACTGTTATTAAACGAAAGTTTTCATAAAATGAGTAAATGCCATCTAATTATGTTTGGCTTTTTATAGACAATTCATGTAAATAAAAAATACATAAAAATTTCGTTATTTATTAACTATGTGCAGTCCGTCAAGTAATTAGGTATCCAGGTAAGAAAGTAAAGATTGATTCAGTAAAGATTGATATGTGAAATTATTGGTCGGCTAAGAAGCAATATAGACGATATAGACGTTCCGTTTACACCCTGTACGGATTTACCATAACAATCCACTGTAGCGAAGAACCTAACGGGTAACCGGGGCTCCGGCTCGACGTGCAGGAGAACGCACTTATAACGCCTCTGGTGTTCCAGGTGTCCATGGGCGACGCCAATTGCTTACCATCAGGTGATCCGTCTGCTCGTTTACCGACTTATCCCATAAAAAAAAAGGCGGTAAAAGTCATCCAATCACATCCGCCTAAGGTGAGGCTAGCGAGAGGAAGTTTCTAAAACTAAGACCAAAAACCACATCGCTCCAACTCCTGCTTTGACCTTCAGCCCCGGAACTGCAGATAACTTGGATTCCATTACTTGCCTATAGCTTCGTGCTATGTCAAGTGAAACAATTTAGCAGATTACTAGACTAGATTAATGTCAAATACATACATCACGCTTTTTATCCCCGAAGGGGTAGTCAGAGGTGCACATTATGTCACTGTACAATGTAACACCCACTTTTCACTATTTATGTTATGAGTCCCATGTAATAGGGGGTGAGCCTATTGCCATATACCGGGCACGATTCCAGACTCCGTGCTACTACTGAGAATTTTTAAAAAACCCAGTAAATTAATGCCAAATGTTGTTTAATTAATATTTTTATCCCACATACCTGTGCCCCAATCCGAACGCTCATTAGTTAGGACGCTGCCAATCATCGGCTGCCCGTCATGCATGTACTCGATGCCAGCCTTCAGCCAATGTTTGTCATCGAAGTATATCATTAGACCTGCTTGGCCGTAGAGGTGGGAGAAGTCTGCTTCTACACAAACCTGAAACACGGCATATTAGCATAATTATCATTGTCTACCGCTGAACATTACAACTACAAGGACTTCCAGCCCTTCCAGGATTAATTGGTTTGAAGCGAACTGCATCCAGCCCCGACCATGATTCGTGTATTAAACTAGTACATAAGATATTATTCACAACAAGGTCTTTAAAAAAAGAAAAGAATTGAGATCCTCAGAGAAATTAAGAAGCTCCTCCTTTTTAGAGAATTGGTTAAAAAGGAACAAAACAGGCGACAAACGGCTGTAGACATTAGGTTCCGCAAGGTCCTTGAATAATTTACGATTTAATGTTAAATACTTATTACGGAAAAAAATACCTCAAAATGAAAGTCGTCTTTGAGTTCAATTCCATACAGATGTCCTGTAGTATGGTCCCGGTTACCTAGAGGTCCTTGCCAGTAATCAGATTTGTCGTCAGTCGTCACTTCAAGACTTTGATTGACAATTTTCCAATTTTTAGGCTCATTTGTCCACTTAAAATCATTGAAACTTATTTCGTTGTATTTACTAGAGTCCATTTTGTATTTGTTTAGGTAGATATTCTTAATTTTAAATAATAAAAGATAATTTTTGTTCTGACAGGTTTCGATCAAGTGAATAATTTACAATCACAACTCATGCTTTTTATATTGTTGTCTCTTTTAATTGTAGTTATGTGTATGTTCTTTTATCTTATCAAACCAATGTTGGTCCGCGGTTTTGATAACTACAATGAGGGGATCGTACGTGCATCAACAGAAAAGGTGTAATTATTGACATAGTCTGTCCCTCCTTTTCCCCCTTCCCAGTCTGATCAATCATGTATTGTTTAGCAATCGTGTGGTTAACTGGTTGTTATGTTCGATCTTTTAATCCGACAATGTTGCATTTGTTTTTTAATTATAGGTTTGTCAGTGATGGCACGGTGTTAAAGTATGCATGATGCGGTCAGCACTGTAGTCTGCTCTGTTACTTATATATACTCCTCCGTTCAGGGTAATTATTTGGTCTGCTACCTGCCTCATCTTTTCTCCATCCTCACGACAGCATTTCCATCCCCATCATATAAATGGTTGGCAGACAACTGTGCACTTATCCGAAAACTTTCTGCCTTGCACAGGAAAACTGGAATCATCTGTCGACGGCGGTATTTCCAAACCGATATGACCTTCAATCGTTCAGGAAAAGAGCGTAAACTGTCAAACACCAAGCGGTCACCGGTGACCGCAACCTATTGTTCTATAATTGTGTCTACAAAACCGGTACTCGACGAGTTAAATAAGGCTGCAACGCACCTGTGGCTCCTCTGGTGCAACGGGTGTCCTTGGACGGCGTTGATCGCTTACCATCAGGTGATCCGTCTGCTCGTTTGCCTCCTACTCCATAAAAGAAAATAGCTAAACTAGAAAATGCTATGTGTCCATCTTTCCCAAACATATAATAAAGAAGATTTATAATATTCCTGTTTTAATATTCCTATGATTTATCCTATACTTAGATATGTGTGTCTGAGGCATTTAATCTATTTTTGTAAACAAACAAAAACCTCACTTTTACTATATAACGTGATAAAGTTAGGAGATACATAGGATGTGACGTCAGTAAGTAGGTACCCGTTGTAAATATAAACGTGGTAATTATGATATCACAACATTGAAGTCTGAATAGACCTATCATATCTGAGTAGGTATTTATTGTGACAAAAGATTAAATGTTACATCATTATCTTCAGGCTGAGATAATAACATTCTGGTTTTCATTTTATAGGTAGGTAAGTATCTACTCGTAGTACTCATGTGTATGCAGAGTAGCGAATTTGAGTTCCAGCTCGAAGAGTTGGATGGGATGCCTTCTCCTCCTTCTGCGAAATAGTCATGCTAGCTAAAGACGAGGCGGAGCGCGTGAGGGAACGAACCTCCTCACGCCCCGACCATCGCGAGAGACACTTCGGTCGTCGGGGACCACGAGACGATCTCCGGCCACCATAAGCACGGGCCTGCGGACGGCGAGCATGGGTGACTCGCCGCCCGATCAGAACCAGACCCGAGCGTTTCGCACGCGCCTCAAGTAGCCATCAGACCACCACAGACGGGACCCAATAGGGCTGATGCCGATACAGAGCCGCGGAAGACTTAACAGGTTGCCGGAGCTCCGGCTCGAAGTGTAGGAGTAGGAACGAGGCGGTTTTTAGTAAGTAAGAGTCTGACACTCCCTCCCGCCTCACCCAGGCGGGAGAAGCCAATGGATGATTTTACCTCCTCATAAAAAAAAGCTCGGAGAGTAAGAAGGAATGTGGTGGGTTTGTAACACCCGGATACCGAAAGGCTACTCAATTTTAAGCTGTACTTAAATATTGTGCCGTCTCTGTTATTTTATAAAGAATTTGTAGAGACAGAACTATACTTTAGCGCGATTTAAGATCGAGTGGCGTTTAAGGATTAGGGCATAACAGTCTGACACACCCTCTCGCCTCACCCATGACTAAAGTGGGATAAGTCTGAAGTGACTGGATGATTTTCCGCCCTCAAAAAATAAATAGTATGTCGTTGGTAGCTCAATCGTCACCCATCGTTGCTCATAAGTCGACTAACGTTAATCAGGGAACAAGAACTGCCTGCTAGCACGTTATACCTGTTGGTGTCCTTACTAATATTATAAATCGGAAAGTGAGTTTGTTTGTTTGTTCCGCTTTCACGTCGTAACTACTTAACCGATTGCTTTGAATTTTTGCAGACGTAAAGTTAGAAGTCCGGATTAAATAATAGGGTACTTTTTATCCCGGAAAAATTGATATTCCCGAAGAAAAACAAAAGTATAGATGGCGCTGTGTGTATATGTCACATAGGCTACTATTTATCCTTTTGTGACGCGAGCGAAGCCGCGAGTAAAAGCTAGTTTTCTATAACTAATCAACGATGCTTGTGTATGCTTCACAGACAATTAAGGTATTGGTTTAATAAATAGAACAAATTGTAAAAAAATCTTATAATTTATTTTAATTGGAATGTAGGATATCATCCGCTGGCACGGTGATTTTTATGTCACTGAATTTTACGTGCAGCCCTTGTCTGGTGGGCGTGCAGCACATGGGTCCCACGACACAGGGGCCGCGCGTACAGAGCGGCAGCGGGCACAGTCGGAGCAGCGTCCACAGCTCGTTGTCCGTCGAGTACTTCACTCACGCCACGTCGCCCTTCCTTGACATTCGCAGGTAGAACTTGCGCGGATTGCCAGTAAACACGCCTGGGAAATAATAAAAAAATCAGAAACTGCCGAAAATTATGACCCAATGGTTGAACACCGTCATTAATTTCAGTGGGTTTACAAAAGTTCTTTCCTACCTGTACCCCAATCAGAGAGCTCATTGGTTAACACACTGGCAGCCATTGGTTGTCCATCATTGTACTCGATGCCAGCCTTCAGCCAATGTTTGTCATCGAAGTATATCATGAGACCAGCTTGGTCATATAAGTGAGTAAAGTCTGCTTCCACGCAAACCTGGAACACGCAATAATTGCAACGTGTCAACGCGTGACGTGGCTTAATAGACAATGGCGTCGAGACTGACTATAGGTAGTCGATCTGATTTAATAATGTACCTAATCGATAAGAAAAGTTATCTCGCTGATTTAGTGATCTTAGTGGTCTTAAAATACTTTCAGGTTTTCGAATAGTACCGAAGTATAGAGTCTGGAATTGAAACGAAAATTGTAATGTAACTGGTAATAGTATCCACCTGGGATATTATAATATTGTACCTAATGTGTTCTATGTCCTTGGCCTATCTCGATCTATATTCAAGCGCCTTAGTATGAATTTGTTTTACGTTAAAAGTAATTATTTTTTTTATAGGCCCGTAAACGAGCAGACGGATCTCCTGATGGGTAAGCAATCGGCGTCGCCCATGGACACCTGGAACATCAGGGGCGGAACAAGTGCGTTACCGGCCTTTTGGGGATTAGGAGTTTGAGGATCGTTGGGGATTCAGGAATTGGGGAGATTGAGCGGTAACCTCACTCACACGACGAAACACAAAGCAAGCGTTGCTTCACGTTGGTTTTCTGTGAGGCCGTGGTATCACTCCTGTCGAGCCGGCCTATGCGTGCCGAAGTATGGCTCTCCCACACTTAAAGTACTTGTACTAGTACTACTTACGAGACCGCGTCCGGCGCTCTAATTGGTTGGTTCGTTAGAGCCGGCCAATCATAACACCGAACGCGGTCTCTTTTCGAACCAGAAATGTAAAATAAAATCTTACCGTAAAAGTAAAATCTTCCTTGAGTTCTATACCAAAAAGGTGTCCATTATTATTGAACAAATTGTTTAGGGTGCCTCCCCAATAATCGGTTTTGTCGTCCGTCGTTACTTCTAAACTTTGATCAATAATTTTCCAGTTTTTCGGTTCATTTGTCCATTTGAAGTCTTTGAGTGTTATTTCGTTGTATTTACTGGAATCCATATTAGTTTTTTCAAGAAAACAATGGACGATTACTGTCGAACCGTTGATCTAATGAATGATTTATGATCATCAGTCCGGCTTTTTATATTGTTTTCTCTGTAAATTGTTTGTGTACGTTCTTTTATCTTAATATCTTATCAAAACTACTTTTGCCCACGGTTTTACTTTAATGATATTAAAAATATTGATTAAATTCTCATTAAGTTTCATTTTTGTCAAGTTTCTATCAAATATTTTATGTGCAGTTGTGACTTTGTAACTCCTCTAGTGTTGCGGATGTCCTAAGTTCTCCTTAGGTGGCGCTGAGCCCTTATCATCCGGTGATTCGGAGTCGCGGATAACCTAACGGATAACCGGGGCTGCGGCTCGACGTGCAGGAGAAGGAACGGGGCGGTTTTAGTCAGTAAGAGTCTGACACTCCCTCCCGCCTCACCCAGGCGGGAGCAGTCATTCGATGATTTTCCCCCCTTAAAAAAAAATCATCCGGTGATCTGTATTCATTTACCCCCCTTTCCCATAAAAACTTAGGTAAAGTACCTACCTATTATCCTGTATCGGTTTCTGGATACTCAGTAGGAACTTGAAAGGAAAATATTTACCTACCTACATACAGCGAAACCGATCTACTAAAAAAAGAAAAAATCTGCATATTAAACAGACGATAACAAACAAACAACCTCATGTCATAGTAATCTTTACTAATATTATAAATTGGAAAGTGAGTTTGTTTGTTTGTTCCGCGTTCACGCCGTAACTACTAAACCGATTGCTTTGAATTTTTGCAGACGTAAAGTTAGAAGTCCGGATTAAATAATAGGGTACTTTTTATCCCGGAAAAATTTTATATTCCCGAGGGAAAACTAAAGTATTGGTATAGATGTCGCTGTGTGTATTGGTAATATTGGTATATGTCGCATTGGCTATTTTTTATTCATTTGTGACGCGAGCGAAACCGCGGGTAATAGCTAGTGAATGATATAAATTCAGAAGATACAAACGATGTGACGTGTCATTGCATACGTTGTTATAATCTACGTGTTACTTGATGCCGTTGATGGGTATCAGATTGTTGTTAGATATAATATCTTAACATACCACGGACCAAGTGATACAACAAAGGATTATTTCTTATATGATTATCATCTCGTTTAAATGATAAAGTTCCAATTTTAATCATTGCCGTCTCTATTAATCTTTTCACCGTTAGAAGTCGCTCTTTTCAGGTAACATAGGGTAGTTTTTAATATGGCAATCTTATGGTTCGGGATCTTATTAGTTCTTTTTTATTTTATTATGTTTCTTTTTTATTTAGTTAAACGTTTTGTAGTTTGTGGGTATCTACATTCAAAGATAAACAAGTTTATTCGTTAAAATTGTTTATTTCACATTAGACTTGATTGTATGGATTTCATGAAAATATAATTATACATATAACTTTAGCACGTTTACAAAAAAAGAACAATCATCCGAAAATAATTAAAACCTCTTCCTTTTTTGAAGTACATATTAAACTGCTGCATTGTATTTACATAAAAGTGACATTGTAGAACATACTTTTTTAAAAAAGAGTAACGAATGGAGTTTCTTGCTCGTTCTTCTTCATTCGAATCTACATTTTAGAATGAGCACCTAGCTTCACCTAGCTGCACTGACGGACTGACTGACAGACTATTATTTATTTTGTATTTGTTGACGTTTCAAAAGTACCAAATTATGGTTTAATTGAAATAAATGCTTTGACTTTGACTTTGAGGTATGTTTAAAAGCACCTCAGTTAGAATGTAGGATATCATCCGCTGGCACGGTGATTTTTATGTCACTGAATTTTACGTGCAGCCCTTGTCTAGTTGGCGTGCAGCACATGGGTCCCACGACACAGGGGCCGCGCGTACAGAGCGGCAGCGGGCACAGTCGGAGCAGCGTCCACAGCTCGTTGTCCGTCGAGTACTTCACACACGCCACGTCGCCCTTCCTTGACATTCGCAGGTAGAACTTGCGCGGATTGCCAGTAAATACGCCTGAAAAATAATAAAAGGAAACACTTGTTGAGTTACTAAGTTAATCTGAAACCGAATAAAAGTATTTCTTTCTTTCAAGTTTCCTCGATAATACCCTAAGCTGGTAGTGGTTAGATGCGAATATCGAACTCAGTAGCCTGCTATGCTATAGCTGACACCAAAGTCCACCGGTGGAATTGGACTGTCAATTATGATAATGGCAATACTGGCAATAAATTCGAAGTAAAAAATGCAATTCCGAACTCCGCTTTTTATTACATTTGAGGATGATCAGTAACCAGCGTGGGACGATGGAGCATTTGCCTTGTTAATAGATATTGGTCTAACTTTATACACGAATAGATTTAAAATAATTAATTTGGTTACACTAAATTATGATATTTCAGGAGTTTTATTTTCCGACATCCGACTGCTTCATTGGCTGAGTGGTCGCAAGTGCGACTGCCGGGCAAGGGGTCTCGGGTTCGATTCCCGTGGCGGGCAAAGTATTACTGGTTTTTAAAAACCTTAGTAGTAGCACGGAGTCTGGTAATGTGCCCGGTATATGGCAATAGGCTCATCCCCTATTACATGAGACTCATAACATAAATACCGAAAAGTGGGTGTTACATTGTATAGTGGCATTAATTGCCGTAATGTGCACCACTGCCTACCCCTTCGGGGGTAAAAGACGTGATGTTATGTTATGTTATTTTCCGATATTAATCCAGTCAAAATTTATTTTCAATCATATTATGATAACTTCTGCCTACCCTACTTCAAATCTCTGTGCACGCCTCTTTCAGTAGCATTAAATGTTTTAACATAGAGGAAAGGTACCTGTGCCCCAATCAGAGAGCTCATTAGTTAGGACGCTGCTAATCATCGGCTGTCCATCATTGTACTCGATGCCAGCCTTCAGCCAATGTTTGTCATCGAAGTATATCATTAGACCAGCTTGGTCATACAAGGTAGTGAACTCTGCTTCCACGCAAACCTGGAACACGTCATATCACCATTACATGACCTACAATTAGACGTACATTGTTAATAAATACTCAGTACACAATGTATTATTATGTTTTCGGTTTACTTACGTAATTAATTGACGAGGAAATACAATAAATGCTTTGGAACTCGACTGGTTTTAAGCCATGCTAGAGGCTCATATTCGTGATACTGTGTACTACTATGAGTAGCAGCGCGACAGTCGCCGCGTCGCGGGTCGCGAAATGCTGCTCATGAATATGAGCCTCTAGCATGGCAAAACTAGTCGAGTTCCTCGTCAAATAATTATGTGAGTAAGCCGAAAACAATAATATATTTAGTATGTCTCACGAAAGTTATCATACAATTACTCAGAGGGCCAAGCACGAATGACTATCGCATTCGTAACGTAATAGTATCGAGCGCGTTCGGCGCTCTGATTGGCCGACTCAAGTGAACCAACCAATCAGAACGCTTAACTCGCTCGATACTTCGATATCTTACGATACGAATGCGATAGTCATTCGTGCTTGGCCCTCTGTACACGTTGAGAGAGCCTTGCTTGGACTCGAATGGGCCGACTCGATGGTGAAAAAACCGAAACATTATTTTTCCTCGTATGAGTTACGGCTCGTACGTAGGTACACAAAACTGTGATGCGACATCGCATCGCAATAATGTGCGAGCTCCCTCTACGCATCGCAAGAACTTGCGAATCGATTCGCATCGCGCATCTAATTCTTATCTTCCCAAAATCTTCTTTGATTCTTTTTCCTGTATCTCCTAAGCAATAACAGAAGTGCACACTTCTTTTTACGATCCATGTCCCGACCTAGTTTTCAATATAAAATACGTTACGTGCAGTTGACAGTCGTTGAAAGAATGGTCCGGCTCGTCGCACGAAATCGCAGCGCAGCAATTCGCATCGTAATTTTTTGTGTACGAGCCCTGAGAATACTAGAAGACCTAGTTCTCTCCCCCAAATCCCGGTTCCCTATCCCCAAATCAGCCCAAACCAATCCCTAAAAGGCCAACAACGCACTTGTATTGCGTACTATCTACTAACTCTTCAGTATTGCGAGTAATCATCGTTTGGTTTGATTGCATAACATCAAGTGATTTGTCTACTCCTGTACCGCAATATGCCATAAAAAACAATCTTCAGCCAGCCCCAGTGACATCCACATCGGTCAGTTAGAAACACGTCAAAGCTATACACGTCATAAATGAAACGCGAAAACTTACAACGTGGCAATAATCTATAAATAACATATTATCGCTAAACTGTTTATGTTTGTATCTATGTATTTTTTTTTTAAGGGGGAAAAGTCATCGAATGGCTGCTCCCGCCTTGGTGAGGCGGAAGGGAGTGTCAGACTCTTACTGACTAAAAACCACCCCGTTCCTTGTCCTGCACGTCGACCTATGTATAGGTACACGCCAAAACATTATCTGCTTATTTTGGTGCGGTTAACCGACGCGCGACGTTAGATGCAACCACAGAAATTTTATACCTATGCATACACCTAGTTTAGGTTGTGTGTGTTTATTATGGGATCGGTCGGCAAACAACTAGACGTATCACCTAAATTCACCTAAGGTAAGGTAAGGCGGTGCCCATCATGCAACACCAGAGGAGATACCGGCTTTTTTCAGAATTAAAGGGATTTGAGGATTGAGAAATATAACACGTTGGTTTACAATAGTGCCCTGTGAGGCCGTGCACAGATTACTATAATATAACAAACAGGAGGCCTCAGTACCACTCTGGTCCAGCCGGCCCATTCGTCTCGAGACCCGGCTTTCCCACACATTAATAATGTTAAGACAAAGTTTTTTAAAAAAAGAAAAAAATAAAACACCCGGTATATCGGGCGGTAGTGTGACTTGGGTCTTTGAATTTCGAGCCAAGAGTTCGCCGACCGGTACAGGTAACTCCATCTATTGGTAATATAAGTTAACTTTTTTTAATCTGTGTTATTTATTTTTAGAAGTTGGTTTTACTTCTCGAGAGTTTATATTAATGATGATAAAAATAAATAACAATGTCACAAAAAACGTACCGTGAAAGTAAAGTCATCCTTAATTTCTACTCCATAAACATGGCCTGAATTATGATGGAAATTGTACCAAGTGCCTTCCCAATAATCAGTTTTCTCATCTGTCGTCACTTCAAGGTCTTTGTCACTGATTCGCCATTTCTTAGGCTCATTTACCCATTTAAAATCGCTGAGTTTGATTTCACTGTATTTACTTGAATCCATTTTAGTTACAATAACTTTAATTGATGATATCAAGGACGTTGATAAATAATTGACTGTCAAGTGTCAAATAAATCGAGTAAATATTTTATAATGATCATTTCCCCTTATTTATATTGTATCTTCTTTGTGCAGTGCTCATAAGTGTTTTATCTTATCGAATAAAATAACACTTCATTTCAATAACATCCTGAAACTTTGTTGCCGGCCGTACCGGATAAATGATTGTTTGTCAAATCTGACATAAAATAGTACCTATAATAATGATTTATTGCTTGTTGGCAGAGTCAATAAATTCAAATATAAATGCAAATTAATGCATTGACATTAGTAAAAAACCACTTTATTTTACTTGGTTTCGAGAGATAGTACAAAACGCCGATATTAAAAAAAAACTGATATAAGCCAAAAGCTAGCGAATAGTTAAATTCAGGCCATGTTGCAGATAATTTGATGGCGCTGGTTGTCCTATTTTTTAAATAGTTTCTTTATATTTCATTAATTAGGTACTTTTTATTTTAAATTAAAATTAAAGAAAAATGGAACTAAACATTTTATATTTATTGACTTGCAACACTATTTCTAAAAAGCAGCAACACCGTTCCATATCCATCACTTCGTCGTTTTCGAATGGCGTCATTTCCGTGGACGGCTGCGCGGTGTGATGGCTCCGCGCGGCTTATGAAGAAATTATCGTACATATTTGTGTTTAGATAGCTAAAGTTTATTGTTTTAATACAAGAGTATTAGTTTTTGGAGTAAGTTACACAAGAAATGGGAAAGCCAGGTAAGATTTTCTTTTATATAACGTTTCACTTGTGGTTTTCGGTGTTCAGCACATGTATTTTCAGTGACCCCGCGTGTGGTATTTCTTTAAATTATCCGTAACATATATAAAACATTAGAATAATCAATATTGTTGACATCTTTTCACATCAAATAACTGTTTAGATCCTGTAAACTGAAATAGACGCCGTTTTCACGTGTTGATTTTGAGGTTAGTTTCAAATCGGTAACCTTGATTTTTCAATTTGTGTGATATTTTATTAATTGAATTGGTTCCCAAAACCTTCAACGTCCTTTAAAAACGTGTTTTATCTATTTTCACGCGCCAAATCTTTTAACTAAAGTTGTTAACGTTATTTTTATCATGTTACCACGCCGGCGCCATGCGTTCACGAACCTTACTTTTTTATTGCAATTACGCCTAACTGGGGACTATTCTGCTAATCTAGAAGTTGTTCGTAATGTATACGTGTTGTTTATTAAAATTGCCTTGTTATGCCAGTTCAGGAATAATTGATTTTTTGTGTATTTGTTTATGCACTTGTTGGTCTTTGGATGTCATAATATTATCACCACGTGGCATTTGAACCACTGCTTATTTAGCTCAAGTTGCAGTCTATTACATTTCTAAAATCTTCAAACAACCAGATGTAGTGTTTCATTTTGATGAGTTATTTCTCAAAACAAAACTCCTTTAACTTAACCTCCTTGAACAAAATGAGGTTAATCAAACATTGTTTACCCAATACAGGTGCCAAAAGTATTCACCAACCTGTGTTATTAATGTAACTGTTCAGTTCAGTTTGTCATGTAGCTATGAAATATGAGTTAGGTATTTGAGTGCTCTTATCAAAAAATAACATGTCATGTTACCCAGTATGAAACCTGATACCATAATGCATTACATACTTGCTAACGAGTTTCTGTTGCACCTGATGCATCCTGGAATGGCTTGAACATGTTGTATGTGCTTCCGAATTCACTCAATTTTATCTGTTGCACAACAGTTGTAATTTATTTATTTATTTGGACAATGGAATTATTATATTGATTCTTATGTCTTAATACTTTGGTAATATTACATTTCAATGCACAACATTTTTAGGTTTCACAAGGGCTTATCACCAGGTTAAATGGTGGCCAAACGTCAACCTATCGCATATATACATATATATATAAAAAACTTATTGCTTCATAGGCTACAAGTTATATTATTTCTCGTATCAATATTTTAAAAGGAAATAGTTATCAGTGATTTTATAGGACTTCGAGTAACGCCCAGATGTGGGTTTACAATACATGTGGATGTGAAATGATCACAATAAAGATGCTAACCACTTAAAATGTCCACAGTTGTCCAATGTTTTAAAAATACCATGTGCCGTTATTGTTCATGTTTAGATCCCATTGAATATTGTTGGCATACAATAAAATATCATGGACATGGTTTATTATGAATTATTATGTGCGAATTCTACAAAGATTAAAATGTGTACAATTTTCAGAATTTAACGGAGGTCGTGGCGGCGGCGGTCGCGGAGGATTCGGAGGTGGTCGTGGGGGAGGCGGTGGTCGTGGAGGATTCGGAGGTGGTCGTGGCGGAGGCGGAGGCCGTGGTGGTTTTGGAGGCCGAGGGGGAGGCGGCGGTAGAGGAGGCTTTGGTGGACGAGGTGGCGGTGGCGGCCGTGGTGGAGGTAAGAATCAAGAATCGTTTATGTGATCTGTTGTATATATTGTCATTGGCTGCAATAAACCGCAGCAGTTTGATAATCATAATGTTGTGAAGTAGATGAATTATTTTCATTCGGAAAGCAACTATTATCACTAGTTGCTTTCCAACTAAACCAGTTAAACCAATATTTGATTTCTCAATAACAGATTTCACACATTGTTCAGCCAATGGTAATTTATACTACATTAATTGTGCTATAAAATCTTAATGATGATTGTGGTCCCTCTAATCTAGACCTATTCATGAAGACTATGTCCACATACCCACTTCTGATTGCAACCAGACAGTATAACATATAATTTTGTTTGTTTTAACCTTGTTACTAAGAACTGTCTTATTTTCAGGTCGTGGTCGAGGAGGCCCTGGTGGTGGCCGTGGTAGAGGCGGTGGTGGCTTCAAGGGAGGCAAACAAGTTATTATTGAACCACACAGGTATGTACCTTAATCTTAAGAAAATTAGATCTATTTCGGCCCTACAATTAAAGTTCATGGTATTCATTATTGTAGACTTACATCGAGATAAGATCTCTAAGATACTATAAATTATACAAATAATGGTCCAAAGTCATTTTGTTCTATAAAATTGCCATGTATGAGTACTGCTCGACTTGAAGCTATGCAAAACTAATATAAACTGAGAATTGAATATACAGAAAGCTGGTAACTGGGGCTCCGGCTCGACGTGGAGGAGAAGGAACTGGGTAGTTTTTAGTCTGTAAGAGTCGTAACAACCTCGCCCGCCTCACCCAGGCGGGAGCAGTCATTCGATGATTTTCCCCCCTTTAAAAAAAGGCCACGGTAAATTGGTTTTGTATAGCTCCTTGTGGTATTTCTTATCTCAACTAGGTCATTTGATAAACTACACACAATGAACTGAAATGATGTTATTATAAACTTTCGTTCTTCTGAAAGCGTACGCTTGAAGCCAACATTCTATACTGATCACTATTTCGAAAGAAAAAACTGCATATTTGTGCCTCTCAAAGCTAAATTGAGCTGTTTTGTTATAGACATCCCGGAGTATTCATCGCAAGAGGTAAAGAAGATGCTCTAGTAACAAAGAATTTGGTGCCTGGATCAGAAGTATATGGAGAGAAAAGAATATCAGTCGAGGTTTGTATTTCATTCTATTTTTTCTGTACTAATATTGAGTAGAATTAGCTTTAGAGTTCAGTTAAAATGATAATTATACAAAAAATGTTAACTGAAGAATTAATCTGCAGAGAAAATAGAATCTCAGTTCATAAATAAAGATAATACAAAACTTTAGTAATACTAAAGAACTTATATTTCTAACTTTACAATAAAATCTTTGATGTTGTGTACGAAAGCCAAAAGAAACAAGGTCATATATTTTTTTTTATAGTAAAACTAGACATTAAAATGATGATTGTGGTCCCTCTAATCTAGACCTATTCATGAAGACTATGTCCACATACCCACTTCTGATTTACCCCCATACATACCCCCAAACCTCCTTTAACATACCCCCACTAACCAAAAGTTACTCCTTTTGACAGAACGATGGAGAAAAGGTAGAATACAGAGTATGGAATCCATTCAGATCAAAGTTAGCAGCAGCTATTATGGGTGGTGTGGATGCCATACACATGCCACCTGGCTCCAGAGTTTTATATCTTGGTGCCGCCAGCGGTACCACTGTCAGTCACGTCTCTGATGTTGTTGGACCGGTAAGTTGAAGTTTTTATAGTTTTTTAAGGGTTCGCTGAGTAAATGATGACATATGATAACTACGTAATCTTATCATGTATTGAACTGAAATTACACCTAAAATGATGATTGTGGTCCCTCTAATCTAGACCTATTCATGAAGACTATGTCCACATACCCACTTCTGATTGTTATTTCTCAATTTCACCCAAAAATTTTAATTTTTGTAACATTTTATTAACAACTTTCTTCTTATTCTCTATTTCGCAGGAAGGATTAGTATATGCAGTAGAATTCTCACACAGATCAGGCAGGGACCTGATAAATGTAGCCAAAAAGAGGACAAATATTATCCCAATTATAGAGGATGCCAGACATCCACTGAAATACAGGTAAATATCAATGTTTTATGTAGGATATAATCCAATCACTACAATAAATTAAAACAACCATATTTGAGTAATGCATGTTTCTTAAAAATGTAAAGCATTTTTATACAAAAGCGCTACTTTATTTATGTGATAAACTAATATGATGATTTCTATTAGCTAAATTTTTCATGTTGAAATAATTTGAACTCTCTCTCTGATCCTATGTAACGTCTTCAATTCTCCTCCAAGTCCATACATATTGCTATATTCTCTTCTTGTTTCTTTCAGAATGCTCGTCGGCATGGTCGACTGTATATTTGCTGATGTTGCCCAACCCGACCAAGCTAGAATAGTCAGTCTGAACGCCCAACACTTCTTGAAGAATGGTGGACACTTTGTTATTTCTATTAAGGTGAGTTTTATCCGGATTGTAAAGTAAATACACGAGTTAATGTAGTTGAAATGTTAATTCCACAATGCTAAGATTTCGAGTTCCACTATTTTTCATAATTAAATTGCTTCAAAAATCAGTTAAATTTGCGGTAAAAAGGTACTCATTGCAACAGAATATAAGTTTCTTACTAAATCTATTATGAGCACTTTCTATGATGATAAAACCAATCTAAATCTTTCATGTTGAGAAGATTGAACTCTCTCACTGAGGCAGAACACAAACAAATTCCATTTAACACAAAAAATACACAATTTAACCCAATTTGTTACTTTCCAGGCCTCCTGCATAGACTCTACAGCGCAACCTGAAGCAGTGTTCGCGGCAGAAGTAAAGAAATTACAAGCAGACAAATTAAAACCACAAGAACAGTTAACACTAGAGCCTTACGAAAGAGATCACGCCGTTGTCGTCGGCATCTTCAGGGCACCACCGAAGAAAGCTTAGACTTTAGTCCGTTTAATAAATTGACGCAAATTTTAATATAAGATTGTTCAATAAGAAGTCTTGAAATAATCATTTTGTATTTACTGAGTCCAGTTTTCATTTCGTCATGTTAAATGTTTTAAAACTTTATGAAAGCTGTGATAATTCGCTCCTGAATATTTTGTAGCTAAATATCAATGATAAAATGTATTACAGTGTCACGATTAAAGCTAACTGAATGCCAACTGACCTCATTCCTAAATAAACACAATTTTAAAGATATTTTTGTATGATAAGTTGAAATGAGTATTAGTTTGTAAGTTCACATACGTGTGTATATTTAGAGTTAAGTTGTATGAAAATATATGATGGTGCGAATGACTATAATTTTACTGTTTTATTTTTTACTTGCTGACCCGGCAAACCGTCTAAGATTTTTCTTCCTTAGACTTCCACGAACTTTTCAAGACAAATAGTCAAATCGCCATCGGTTCAGCCATTCTCGACTAGGCCAAGGACACACGACGCGCTTTCCTCCGGCGCCTACGGGCCCGCAGCCTACGTAAGCCGGGTACTCATTAGCGAGCTGTAACTGTAACCAAACAGATACAATCACGAGGTTCTAGTGTGTACGGGGAGACCTGCTCTGCCCTCAGTTTTGGTTTGTAACTCCACGATGTCAGATGAAATGTCTCTCACCTGTGCAGCATACTTACTACTCGATGATCATAAACGGCCACGAAGATGGATGATTCATAGAATGTATCGAGAAAGAAGTGATGTACCTACCGTTCATATTGAAAAATCAAGAAATTAGTGGTCATTACAGAACAGTATTTTCCCTGTAGGCGTTTACCAGCAAAAGACATTTATCCTCTGACCATTCACTCATAATGACGAAGGAATAACTCGAAATTACAGCTGGTTCGCAGCGGCTAGCAACAACCTCTCCTCTTGAGCGCCCTTTGATCCGCGACAAAAACCGACAATCGTCGGCTCGCTGCGAGTCGCTCGTGTAGCGTTCGTCGCAGGCTCGCGAACCACGTACACATTATGTTTTTGGTAACAGTAACGGTTACAGTTACGTGCAACGTTACGGGTTTAGAAATGAGTACGTTGTAAACATCGGGTCGCTGCAAGCCGCACACGTACCGCTCGCATCAGGTTTGCGAACCACGTACACACTTATGTTTTTTAGTTACAGCTCGCTAATGAGTACCCGGCTGTAGACGTGTGCGTTCGCGCAACGGAATGTTGTTGAATTTAAACATCGCGGACGTCATACACTAATTATCTGCATAATTTAATTATCCGATCGAAAGAACCGCATCATAACTAATGTAAAATTGCCACTGGGAAAAAGTTGATTGGATAAACAGCAGTTCTGGCATAGGTGTAATAAAGTGAGTTCTGGCGAAAAAATGCACAAAAAAATACCCTCGCATTTTCATGAACGATACCCAAACCGGAGAGGATGGGTATTCAGTTTATCGTAGGCGCGATACAGAAAATGGCGGTCGGAACACTACTACGCTACAAATAACGATAGATAATAGGTGGATTGTTCTTGATGATACTCCCCGCTACTATGTAAGACTTTTAACGCTCATATAAACGTGGAGTATTGCCACTCTGTCCAAGCCATTAAGTATATATGTAAATATATAAATAAAGGTTTAGATCAGGCAACTTTTAGCCTTAGGACCCCACACGATGAGGTCGAAAACTAATCAACTCGTTGAGTACCGTCATTATAGACACAATTATAGAACAATAGGTTGCGGTCACGGTGTCCTCGGGTTTGTGACAGTTTAAATGGCAAATAAGCGCCAGACAGCTTCAGATGTGCTTTACATAAGCACATCTGAAGCACATTTGAATTTCCCATTCACGACCGGTATCCTACTGTAGTGCATTTGGCTGTTCATCTAGACCAGGGCTGTCCAAACAAAGGCCCGCGGGCCGCATGCGGCCCGCGGCCTGTTTTCATGTGGCCCGCGACACATGTTTTAATCTCATCATCTTCATCTTATGTGCAACAACAATAATAAAATTCAGTGTATGATTTGTATACAAATTTTGTCTATGAGTAAAGAATACAATGTTAAACTTCATTGTACAATGTGAAAATATTTTTCTGGCCCTCCAGCTTTTGTTAGAAGTTAAATTAGCCCGCGAGGGTATATAGTTTGGACAGCCCTGATCTAGACTCTAGAGAACGGTCAAAGGGTGTATTTTACACGAGGAACAGCTCATCAAGTTGTCCAAAACCCATGCAAAAAAGATGCCACTTTAGGTAGAGTCTACGGGATACATCCATCACAATCGGAGTGTTTCTATCTTAGGATTCTACTGCACCACGTACGCGGTCCGACCTCATTTGCATAACCTTTTCATCGCCAAGCACTTCTATAGAATAGAAGTTCGGGATTTTCGTGCCACCAGCGCCACAACCTCATAGAAGTTGTTCACTTTAACAATCTTATTAATATAAATTTACGTAACGTTTCTAGTTGATTTTTTACACCTTGTGGCCGAAAAAGCCAAATATTTTACGGAACCTTATTTTTTTCCAAAATAAAATTTAGCCTATGTTACTCGTGGACTCGTGGATAATGTAGCTTTCGCATGGTGAAATAATTTTAACCTTTTCGCCGCCCAGCTATACTAAACACGATGTGTCGCCGTACGCCAACGTATAAATGTATAATAAATGTATAGTACGAAAGTAGGGATGGCGGTAACATCATGTCGATAATGAAAAAAAATATGTGTAAATTTAAATTGGTACTCAAATTTACAATTAAAAATACAAACTGTTAAGTTATAATGGTAATTTGTTTTATTTTATGAACATTTATACTAAGAAAAATGGGTATCCGTTATCAGAGATGAAGATACATGCATAGAGTTGCTAGAGATAATAATAATAATTCGTAACATTAGCCACTTCACTATTCATTTCATAACGTAGTCTGTTTACTTCATATCAAGTCATTGGCGTTCAAAGCACGATACATTTCGTAAGGAATAGTTGTCTATGCTTTTCTTTCTTTCTATCGAGTTTGGTTTGCTTTTGGTTTTAGTTTACATTTAAAATCTAACGTCAGGTCACGATCAGGAACATTGTTTGTAGTGATTAAAAGTGGCAACATATGTGTAGTTTTGGAAATGGATGGTAAGTAACTATTTTAATACAGATGTACTAAACTTTAATAGCTTATTTTTCATTTAATGCAAATGAAAAACTGGCACGTTTGATGGATATTAGGTAGTCATAAAATACCTATTCGTTGCGGCTCTCGGTTTCGCAAACTTTTAGCTGTGTCGGCGAACAAATATAGAATATACTCATCCGAATCATATTCGGTCATTTTGCACTGCACTGGGAAAGAAAAATGTGCGTGCACGCGTCGCCCGGAACTATGACACAATGACCTTGACGCCTAAGCGCTTACGACGTCACAGGTTTACTTCTATTGAAGTTGACGGCGCTAGTGTCACTCGACATCTTGCCATTACGTAGAGATGGGTCTAGCAATATCGAAAACCCTCAGTACATAATAATTAATTTTAATGAAATGATTTGATAGGTAGATGTACATTAATTTTGAAACGCAATGTAATACGTTATTTACTGACCGGAATTTCTTTTTATTCATAGAATTCAAAAAACTATTGGATGGAAAAGAAAACAAATATTATATTAAATAAAGATTCTAATGAATGCTCCTTACGCGTCACATCACTGGCCTACTTGATATGAAGTCGTTGGCGTGCGGGATATAAAATTATTTGAAACCTTTTATGTTTTACCTTTTTAAAACAGAAAATAGTCTGTTTTGCATGAGAAAAAATAGTTCGTCGTGTCCATATTACAAAATTACATAGAAACAGATGTTTTATGTATCGTAAATGTATTTTTTATAGTAGGTAGATACAATGAACTTCTATAGAAGTAGTGGCGTGGACGGCACGAAAATCCTGAACTTCTATAGAAGTTGTTGGCGGCGAAAAGGTTAAAAACGGTCCAGTAGTTTTTTGGCCTATTCATTACAACCAAACAAACAAAGTTTTCCTCTTCATAGTATTAAGTGTGGATATATCACAGTCATCGATACAGAATATTTGCTATACAAATTTAAAATTTAGAAATCAGGCTGTCGAGTGAATTCCAAGAAATAACAAAATTCGAGAAATAAGGGCTTGTGTTATCTAAATATGTAAACAATTAGACGACAAAACTTGAGATGTTTATAATAACACCACTTGAAATTCGACCCGACTAACCATAAAAACAACTAGGGATGGTACTCTTCACTTTTTGTGATTTTATCGATAGTTGTTTTTTTTTTTGTGAAGGATTTTGGTATACGTGAATAAAAAATATAGATATGAAATATTGTGTTTTATATACAAATGCTGCTGTAGCTTCAAAAGCGTGAACATAGCAAAAAATAAGAAATTATTCTGGATAAATACGTAATTCCTAATATAAGCGTGAAATAGTCACAAATATCCACACAATAAACTTACGCATAATTAATTTTAAAGGTTTAAAACAATAACATTTCTAATTTTAAACTAGTAATTTGACCGTCAAAAACGTTATTCACTGACATTTTTTGTCAGTGAATAACGTTTTTGACGTTATTCACTGACAAAAAATGTATTGTCCGTCCACTCATAAAACAAATTGTAAAACTATGACAGTCTGTTATTAAAAAGGTGGATAGAACACTTCTTATAATATCGAAATATTTCCACAACAACATTTACACAATACACGCAAATTATATAGTCAGAAGGCTGATTATGTAACTGAATCAAATCATGTAGATGAAATGAAGAAGATTACTCTCAGTTGGATTTTATTTTTTTAGTACTCTCTTAGTAACTAAACCTGTCAATCTCATTCACAATCGTAAAACAATCTCGAAAGTAACAATTTTATTATTTTCAATCGAGCACTTTCAGAGTCAGCGAAACGTAATCAGCCAGCAATTCTACTAGTAAAACAATCTATGCCTATTTTGGTCCAATAAAATCCCCAAATATTCTTCACACACAAACCTTGCACTCCGTCATCATAAAATACCTATCATAACATGCAGGCATCCTGTACACTCAAACCTTACATTGTTTTCCATAAAATAAAACTATTTGTGAATATTTGGAAATAACTGAAATAAGAGAAAGCAAAGCATTACTACAGTGACGTATGGTGTAATTTAAAACAATTCGTTACACACAGTGGCACTTTGCAGGTGTCACAGCAATATGGCGTCTTTTGTGACTTCTTATTTTTAAGACACACAACGCAGCGCTTCCGGAAATTTCGGTTAGCTGCTACCGCGCACTCTGTCTGTTTCAGTAGAACGGGCCAATGTGCAGAACGAATTATACTCTGCGGCTGTTGGTGCGTAGATCTACTGGCGGAAACAGTAAACTTACGAATTTGTGGACAATGTGAAAGATGATTCGTGAGAATAGAATCTACAAGACTAAGACGAAAAACTAAATGATTATGACGTTTTTGTAAAGATGACTCTAAAAGAATGCGAGAATTGAGAATAGACACATTAAGCAAGCGTTTAAAAAGTTTCATGTACCATTTGGCACAACGTTTCCGTTCTATTAAATAAGGCTCGAGCATTTGGTCCTTCATGTCCACCCCACCCATGAACTTATTATAGTCCAACACCACCTGCGGTTTGAATGGTGTTGGACGATGTGGTTGACGCGACGGAACTGTAGGCAACGCAGTAGCTGAACCATGACAAGTGGAACTCATGGTTACTCGTTTCTTGTCTTGCCATGATAATACGGAGACATCGCCGGAATGTCTCGCTATGAACTCGCCCCTTTTAAGAGGAGCCTTATTTATTATATCGGGAACGTCTCTACGGGAAGATCTCAAGGTACCAACGCAGTCGGTACCATTGAGCTTCAGAAATCTAGCTAATAGAGGCGAATTGTACCAATTATCCATAAATAGCCTATATCCTTTGTTTAGTAGGGGACTAATGAGCTTCTTCACAACAGCCGTGCTTTTAAGTACACCTGGCGACTTCTGCAAGTCACCACATTGCTTACCAGCGTAAACAATGAACGACCACAAGTAACCAGTTGTGCTTTCGCAAAGTTCAAAAGTCTTGATACCAAACTTAGCAGCTTTGTTCTGAATGTACTGTCTAAAATGCAATTTTCCTTTCCATAGGGTTAAACTTTCGTCAATACAAATATCTTTATGCAAAATATAATTTGCCTGAAACCTAGAATTTAAATGTGTAATTATTGGCATCAGACGGTATAGTGGATCATAGCTGCTAGCGGCGCTTATGTTGGAGGGATTTGGATAATTGTTAACTGTGGGGTCAAAATCTACAAAATGCAAGGCTCTGGATAACATTTGATACCTTTTCCGCGTGAATATGCGCCTGAAAACTTCCGTTTGCAGAAGAGGATCGAGAGAAAAACAACTGACAATAGTTGGCATTCTGACAATCCCCAACATCATCCAGAACGAAAAAAGGCATAAAATTACATGGACATTGGTGGGATACCATTCAGCCTGGAAAGCAACAGACATTTTAGTGGCATACCGGTTCGTTTCATCCACAATTAGGCCTAAGACGTCATCGCTCCAATAGGAGCGAAAAGCATCATATGCCGAATTGTAAACGTTTACAGAACCAGTATGCTCTGGACTAAATATTTCCTCCTGGCCTTGAAAGGACTCCATAGTCGACCATTCAAAGTGGAGGTTCTGGCCTTCCAGTCTTAGGAGTTTATCCGCTCCATCATCAGCGTCGAAAAATTCATCACAATTTTCGCTCCAGCTATTAATCTCTCGTTCATCATCTCTCTCAGTTCTCTCAACACCTTCCATTCTCATCTGTCGTCTCTTTAATACATCCGTCGCCAAACTTACCAGTTCAGGGGGAACGTCTTCGTCATTCGTCCAGATTTCATTCAGTGGGTGTCCCACCTCCCACCGATAGTTCCCCCTTTGGCCCCGGTTTGGATGCCCACGCTCACCTACATTCTGTCCTCGCACACAACTTCGTCCACCTTGTCGCTTACTTTTCCTTCTTTCACTAGATTCCCTTTCATTTCTTCCACTCTCATTCATTTCACGCTCCTCAGGGGACACATACAGAACGTGGGCATCCGGGGACAAGAATATTTCTTCCATCACCACGTCCATGTTGCCATCGTCGGCTTCAACGATGAACTTAGCGTCCAGCGGTTGGCCATTCTCCCCGAAAATCCGGATCACGGTCGGTTGCATCGGCTCCGGAACCAATACCCTTAAAAAATAAATACTTTTAGTACATTTATTCCATATCGGCGAGATACGGAAAATTAGTAGTCTAGTAAGCGTAAGCTAGAACTTACGATTCTTGCAACGTTGTGTTGAGGTGTATCGGAGATCGTGACCTGTCGTGAGACGCTGAAGGACGTGGCGATGAATCCTAAAATATTCAAACATTAAAATCACTAAAATCCCACTGTAAGGCTGGGTTGCACCAACTTACCTACAATAACAAACGTCAGAATTTCTGTATCGGTTAGGTCAAAAATATGCTGCACCAATTGACAAATTGTTAAATGACGCCATAACTTTTACTATAACTGTGACCGTACACTTTTCTCTGGTTAGTGTTAAAGTTATTGTTAAAAATGCATCTGTCAAATTGTCGAATCAAACGCGTTGAAGATAAGATAAGACCTCTGAAACCCTGAACAGCATGTCCCTGTTACAAGAGATACTCGCAGAAATCAGTTCTGAAGACAAAAGTAATGATTTTGCATGTATAAATATAAAAAAGTATAGGTGCTGAGACCCAATAACATATCAAATTCAAATAGCGGAGGAGGTCACGCTAGTTACGAAAACTCATTTTGCTTATACACTGACTGCAACGGGCGTGCGGTGACTGAGACTCATTTTACTGACTCTCGGACTTTATCCTAAAATTACATAGGTATTAGTAATGTAACGAATTTCATATTTTTAGATATTCACAAATGCTAATATTAATTTCAAAGAATATGCGAATATTCTTGAACGCGAATGCGAATATTCATTATAGTGATATATCACTAATACATACATAATTACAGTACACATTTTAATAGTAGCATAGGTCCTAAAAAAATCATGGCAGTTCCTCTGCTACAATCCAAGTGACAATGATGTCATGCGAAAAACATATTTTTTAAATAATCTTTATTCAAAACGATTTCTTTAGTATTTCCATGTTTGAAAATATTACCCACATTAAATTTGGGGAAAATCACATCTCATTTGATTTGCAATACTTTTAATTTTAACAAAGCTACTGAATTCGCTGGTGCAACATATTTTGCTGTAACTGTTGTAGTCAGTGTTACAGTTATTGTTAAATTTAACACTAACTAATACTATAACTACTTTCTGTGGTGCAACTAAGCCTAAAAATCAAAAATATTTCAAATTGAACAACTCAAAAGTATTAATTACCGTTCGCGGCAGCCTCCTTGTAGGGCGCCCTGGCGACGAGAGAGGAGAGTAAGAGGGAGCCTCCGGTAAGGGCGACTGCTCCGGTAAACCCTCTCCATGTTCATCCTAAACATGCAAATACATCACCGGTAGCCTATGTACTCTGTTTTTATATATGTATTTTCTTTTGTTATTAATATTTAAAAAATAACAAATAAATCACCGAAAACCATAATCTTATATCTTATACTTTTATATAAAGCGGATGAGTTTGTTTTTTTGTTTGTTTGTTTGAACGCGCTAATCTCCGTAACTACAAGTCTGATTTAAATAATTCTTTTGTGTTGGATAGTGCATTTATCGAGGATGGCTATAGGCTATAAAACATCACGCTACGACCAATAGGAGCTGAGCAGAGCGTGTGAAACCGCGCGGAAGTAGCTACTAAAAAGATAAAAGCAGTACCAATCTTGGAAAGCTCACCATGGAAGTCGGCGCCGATGAACGATAAACGTTCGCTTGCGAGACTTCATTCTAAAATAAAAAATAAATCCATGTGAAAAATTCCCATCATTGCAATAAAAATAAAACAATTCACAAACTAACAAAAAATATTATAAGTCAAACCTCGTCATCAAAGAATTCCTCGTTTTCATCGCCGATCTCCTCTTCCACGTCCGGATCTTCCTCGTCGTATAACAAATACTGGAAGTCCGTCGGAGGCTGCCCATTAACACGCCAATTCGACATGCTATAAAACGAAAAGTGTAGAAAGTATCACATACATACGTACTTTATACCCTTAAGTCTGTTCAGTTGATTTTACTTTGAGAAATATAAAAACCATAAATATAATTATATAAATAAATTCATTATAGAGCATTAGAAAACCAAGTTAATCATCCTTACTAATATTATAAATCGGAGAGTGAGTTTGTTTGTTTGTTTGTTCCGCTTTCGCGCCATAACTACTAAACCGATTGCTTTGAATTTTTGCAGATGTATAGTTAGAAGTCCGGATTAAATAATAGGGTACTTTTTATCCCGGAAAAATTTGATATTCCCGGGGGAAAACAAAAGTATTGGTATAGAAGGCGTTGTGTGTCTTGGTATATCTTTTTGTGACGCGAGCGAAGCCGCGGGTAAAAGCTAGTGTAAAAATAAATGTATAATGTATAATAAATATAAAATACAGCTATCACTATAAATGATGGTAAAATTTTATCGACAAGGTTATCGACTCACTAGCTTCCCTAGTCAAATCTAAGAAAATTTCATACTAATTTCGACCTTGTCAAATACAGACAAGGACCAAAATGGCTTGTGAAAAGCAACTTGCAAGACTTTTTTTACTATTATTGAATAAAAACATTATTATATAGTAGTATACACGATTCTAATCACTTTTTACAATAGTTTCATTACATTCACTGATAAGAATCACCATAATTTACACGAAAATCAGAAAACATATTTAGTACAATATATACCTACCGGCTTTTTTTATTAATTACAATAATGTATTCCATGCTATTATACTGTAAGGAGTATGATTGTATGCAAAATAATAAATATATAATAAGTAATAATAACAAACAATACTTACATGAGTAAAATTCAATAAAATCACAGATTTTTTTGTAGGTACAGCAGAATCTTCTTCACTCGGGTAACGCGAACGAATGTATGATGTTCCATATTACGCACAACTATAACTCGGCGTCGGCCGTATCAAGCATCACTCTATTACCCGAAACATCACTTCATGTCACACAACACACGAATAGAACCGAGAACGTTCGTATAAATAGTTAAATACCGAGCGAGAGCGAGACAGACGTATCTCTATCTCCCATGAAATGTTCCAGTCGTGCTACTTAAATACCTTTATCATTATCAGTGTCGTGCTATCACAATCACACACATCACCGAGTAATTTAATATTTCCCCAGTCTTGTTCTATGTTTACGTCCTAATTAATATTTTATAACATGATGCTTACGAAATACGAATACGAAACCTTAAAGTCTCACGAACAAATTAAAAATATTATTATGCTCGCAATGAAATTATTACATAAAAAACATTTATCCATTCATTACATTACATATTCCAAAGTAATAAATGGTAGATGTTAGCAAACAATACTGTTCTGTCAGCAGCCATTTCATTAGTAAAGAGTACAGGTGATGTTTCGGGTAATGGTAATATCAGTGTGATATCACTTTTCTCCAAGTGAGATGAAATGAAATAAACAAATTACGCGATAGTGTAGGTACTGTTTAGTTAGAACAATATGTCTTCAAACCGAAAAAAAAGAACATCGGAGCATAGATTTTAAACTGCCAAACACCAAGCGCTCACCGGTGACCGCAACCTATTGTTCTATAATTGTGTCTATAATGACGGTACTCGACGAGTTAAATCATAGATCTCCAAGACCGTAGATAACCATACTTGTCCATACAATCCTCATCACCATCATCATCATCAACAGCCTATAAATACCTACTGCTGAGCAAAGTCCCTTCTCACACGGAGAAGGTTTGAGCATTAATCCCCACGCTGGCTCATTGCGGGTTGGCGATTTCAAACTTACAATTAGTCGCAAGTGCGACTGCCGGACAAGGGGTCTCGGGTTCGATTCCCGGGTCGAGCAAAGTATTATTGGGTTTTTAAAAAATCTCAGTAGTAGCACGGAGTGTGGAAATGGGCCCGGTATATGGCAATAGGCTCACCCCCTATTACATGGGACTCATAACATAAATAGTGAAAAGTGGATGTTACATTGTACAGTGGCATTAAGTGCCGAAATGTGAACCTCTGCTTACCTCTTCGGGGATAAAAAGGCGTGATGTTATGTTATGTAATTAGAAATTATAAGTCCAGGTTCCCTTACGATGTTTTTTTATTACCGTTTCTCAGTGATGTCTAGATAATCTTAGAAAGTAGGTACATATAACTTGGAAAAAGTCACATTGGTACTTGCCGTTGGTAGGTTTCGAACCCGCACCCTTATGCATGAGAAGCGTCTTAACCTCCTGGCCACCGCGACGTCCATACAATAGTAGTATCTAAACTAAACACCGAAATGGTTTATTAACGAAGTGGATGAGATAAGAGCGGTGACCGTTTGGAGGTATGCGGGCTTTTTTTTTTCAAATCATCGAATGACTGCTCCCGCCTGGGTGAGGCAGGAGGGAGTGTTAGACTCTTACTGACTATAACCACCCCGTTCCTTCTCCTGCACGTCGAGCCGGAGCCCCGGTTACCTGTTAGGTTCTCCGCGACTCCGAATCGGCATCGGCCCTGTTGGACCCCATCTGTGGTGGTCTGATGGCTCTTTGAGGCGCGCGCGGAACGCTCGGCGCAGTACGCTCGGGTCTGTTTCTGGTCGGACGGGGAGCCACCCATGCTCGCCGTCCGCAGGCCCGCGCTTACGGTGGCCGGAGATCGTCTCGCGATCCCCGAAGCCCGGTGTGTCCTTCGCGATGGCTGATTGGCTGGGTTGCGAAGTCGTTACGCGTCTCGCCTCCTCCTTAGCTAGCATGACTGCTTCGCAAAAGGAGGAGACGGCATCCCAATCCCCCTCGCTCCGCATCATGGCCTGCACTAGGCCCGGACGCGAGAGTCCGGTCGCCCTTAAAAAAAAGTACTTCCAAACAAAATATGTATGACGTATTTTTGTTGGAGTGATTGATTAACGAAACTGTGAGAGTAGGTTATATTAAAACTATTCTCACAGTCATGAGACATACTAAATAATGAGTAGGTTTTTTGGGGTTATTTTCGGTGTCACTAACATTTTTCTGAATCGTAGGGTCAACTCAAGAATTAACGGTCAACATGTTCCTTAGCGTTGCACGCCATCGTGGGCAACGAATGAGGATTAAAAATACTAGACAGGTAGATAAAAAATAACACAATAAAATATGAAAACGATCTATTTATTATATAACATCAATCTCCGTCGGAGTCTGCTTCCTCATGCGCAGACGCATCGCTCTCGAATTTGTCATCTCCCCATGACGCGTCACTGTCTGACTGGTATGGCTCTGCTTCCATCTCCTCGTCTGATGATGAATCTGGAATACAAGACAATAATAAGATAATGTCATATTTTGCTTGTAAGATAGAATAAAACCAGTCTAGTATAGGGCTAATATGTTGCCGGGGCTTCGGCTCGAAGTGCAGGAGTAGGAACGGGGTGGTTTTTATTCAGTAAGAGTCTGACATTCCCTCTCGCCTCACCCAAGGCGGGAGAAGTCATTGGATGATTCCCCCCGCCCCACCCCAATTAAAAAAAATATCTATTCATTTAAAAAGAAGTGTAGCCCTCTAGAATTCTACTCTATCTAGAACTCTATAATTCTTAATTTGTGGTTTACACAGAACATGTTTCATGTTGTAATCAGTAACCCAACCACTGCGCCAACTGTTTTTTAATTTGGGTTATTTGCGCAAGACCATACCACATTATTGAGAACAAAAAAAAAAAAACAGAAAGAATTGACCAACAAAAATGCCGTTGGACTAGTCATATGATGAAAACAAGGAAAAATGGTGCAAGAT